TATCACGCATAATTATTAAATAGTACGTAATATTACTTTTACATTGGATTTTCGTTGTTCTCTGCACATATTTCGATGTAAAACGATGCCTCGCATGAATCGCTGTTATGCCTCGCACTTTTGGCAATGGCAAAACGATGCCTTGCATGAATCGTCATTTTGCCTCGCTGCCTCGCACTTTAGTACTACTCGTTACTACTAGGCCTAGGGCTAGGCCTGCTGCAAAATCCTTGAATTTAATTTATTTTGTCACGTACCTAAACAGTACAGACATCCCTAGCTATCGTTTGCTAAGGACAGATGTTATAAATATAATTCTTCTCTGCTATTATTAACATACAAATTAATTAGGACCTGAAATTCATTCATAGACGTAGGCCTACGATGCACCAATTCCTGCCTTTCCAGGCAATCGCACCCCTGCACGCCTTACGTCTTATCTGTACCTGTTGTACAGGCCTAACCTGGTGATGATGGGTGGAGTATTCACATTTGACAATTTCGTGAATGAATTAACAATAATGATTCATATAAAATTATAAAGGAGTATTTGTTCTTAAAAAATAATTAAGTGATGCAAACAAAAAAATACGGAATTCTTACATTCGAACAATTTTAGGCTAACAATCCTCCAGTATCCACCGAACGATGTGGTCAATATGTCTACGCACGTTCGCTCGAGCCGTAGTGAGCCACCTATGCTTCACCGATTCAGGAAAGTTTTCTTGTTTTCTTACGTCACTCACCCTCAGGTCAGATGAAAAGCTACAGAGAGAGGAGGGTAACAAACAAGAACAATTATTTTCTTTGTCATACCTTAAAGATGTTTTTAATGCTTCTAAATTGAAGTTAATCTTTGAATTTCTTTTTATAAATACTTTTTATTTATTTTATAAAAAATTTTGAATGAGCTGTTTATGTTTGAAATCGACTTTTAAATTATTGAGTGGCGATGTTGATAGCGTTACGCATGACGAACCGCAAGTAGCATAAACTAATTTCCGCTTGTGTAACCAAACTTCTGATTATGACTTTAGGCCTGGGTTTAGTTATCCAAGATATAAAATGCTTTCATTTCAGGGAAATTTACGTTTGTTCAGCAGGACAGCGGTTTGTGTATAAGTCCATGGTAATACAGTACTAATAATGATGAAGCGTTCTGAAGAAAGATAGGGCGTATGTAGTAGTACTAGTAGCTAGTAGAATCGTCAGTAGCAGTAGAACAAACAGAACTAGCCCAGTTTTGTATCTACACACAGCAGTATCCCGTAACCTGTATCGGCTACTCAATCCTCCCAGCAGAGACGTGGTAAGTAAGAGTAATAGTATTGGTTCTATATAAGATAAACACTAGATTGACATCGCTGCTGTGCGAGTGTTGTGCTGCAATCTGCCTATTAGGCAACTGTGAGCAGAATAACATGATACGTACAATGACAATGTTTTAAAACTTTAAACCAATTATCTCTTTTTTTTTGCATAAAAACCATATAGTTTAATGAATGATTTATTCTTTATATTTAAAAAGCAAGATTGTAGTTGCATCAAGCAACGTCAGTCGACTTCCATTTCACTAAATTAATTATTTAGTTTCTTTTACAGGATCGTGTGCTTCATATAAACCATGTGCAGGACCAAACCATTTTTAAAGTATCAATTTCTCAAGTTGGATAATGCAGGAACTTATGATGCTTAGTTTTAAAATTCAAGATTACAGTATTCATTGTCCTGAGAATTTTTTTTTGGAACATTGAATATTTCAACTATTGAACATTTTAATTCATGATATTTACACGATTTTTGAAATATTCTTGTTTGTGTTACAAAACTTTTTAACACAAGGTTATTGTTGGGACATCTGCAAGGAGGCAGTTAATTTTTTCAATTTTTATTTAATTGACTCAAAATTCCTTGGCACCATGAATGTCAGAACACTGTCTTTGGAATCAATTGATGTCCAGCAGACATCACCAGTACTGAAGACTGCTGATGTGAACATCTGCAATGTCTTCTGGCGTGCCAGTCTTACTTGCCATCCATTCCAGTGTGGAGATCAACTTGTTCCCTTTGAAGCACTATGGCCGGAAGAAGAGCGACTAAAGTATCTGGTGGAAATGTTCAAGGAACCAGAAATGCGTGGATACATTCCAGAATGCTGTAAGCTCATCACAAAATGTGGACCGACCAGGATGCTTAAACAACTCATCAAAAAGAAAATTGTTGGTAAGTTTAAAATCAGTAGAATATAAAGGCCTGTAAAAAATGATTAGATATACTGTAATTCATCAGTCAATTTCAATTTCAATCTAGTTTTAAACACCAGCTTAAAGCAGCCCAAAAAGCTGAATTGGTGTAGGTGGGTACCAGTTTTCAATTTTGTCATATTTCAAATCATTTGTAAATATTTTGAAAGTATCTAAGATTCTAGAATGTACTGAATAAAAAACATAATAAGACATCATAATATTCATGATTATCAATTTATTATTATTATAAAAACACAGTACAGTATTATTATAATCTGTAACAGGACATAAACATTATTATTAAAATTACCATTAAAAAGGATAAAAAATAGAATAAACACAAGAGGATAATAAAATTTGATAATTGAAAATTAGGTTCATGTGTCAAAAAAAAAGAAAAAAGAAAAAAAAATAAGAGTCAAGGATTACAGTAAGTGAACCGGGTTAAAACAAAGGAGAAATCTGAGTCACTTGTTTATGAGGTTGGTGACGAAGGGGAAAGCACTACTTTTGTACCTTTTAGTAACTGTAAAAAGGATCTTCAAATTTTTGTTGATTTCTAAGTGACATGCTTTTTGTAGATTGATTATGAACAAACCATTTACTGAAATGATTTGAGCAATGACATATGGGCGAACATGTGTGGCGTAAACAGTAACTACTGTACTGAAAGCCATCCTTAGGAACTCCAGACTTTTTTGAGTAAATGATGCTTAGGAAGTCAAATAAAATTTTTGTCTTCTCCCCATGAATTTTTTTTTGACATGCCGTAGTGGGGAGACTGAAGTTTAAGGTTATGGTCAAGTCAGCTCTACCAATACCACCTCAGATTTACGTAAAGCTGCCTTTTCTTTTTTCCTTTCCTATTACCACACTCTTGTTTATATGTGACATACCACATAATATAAAAGAAAGACAACATGTTGTATTATTTGAAAAATATGTTTATTGTGTCATCAAATTAAAAAGGAGTTGTTACTGATAAAAATATAAATTTAAAAGTGGGTAAAAAACAGTTTACTTTTATACCTCTTCTGAAAGATAGTGACATTTTACATTAAAAACTGCATTGATTATAGAATATTTAGCAAATTATTTTGTATTTATTTTAGATTTTGTAATTATTATATACAAACAGCTCTTATTGTGAATTTTACCTGATTTAAAAAAAAATATATTTTAAAGTTTGTTACATATAGTAATAATATTTACAAAGTATGAATTTACATTAATTAAAATAATATTAACCATGCTAGTTTTTTGGGTATAAAATTGTGAATGTAAGACAATCATTTCTTTTTTTTTTTTCTGTCTGTGTATCATGTATTCATAAATTTATAGAAACTGTTTAATGTACTATGGTCATCATGTACAGTATTATCTGTGTTTTTAGGCCAAATAACCCAAAAAAAAAAACTATTTGTTTCCCATCCTGGGTTTTTCAAAAAATTGGTGAAGGAGGCATTTATTATTTGATTTTTGTTATTTTCCACTTCGTCAAAATATGCCAAAGAATGTTGTCTGCGTAGCGAAATGTGTTGTAAACAATTTGTCAGTTAGTTACTTTGTGTTTTAAAAAAATGCATTTGTAAACAATAAAATGTGTTAGCAATTGAAATTTTGCATTTTCGATGTAAAAAAGTACCCCAAAATTTTAAAAATAACAAAAAAAAAAAAAAAAATTGATGCGGGCCCAAAAAATGGTGAGAGAAGGGACGAGGAACAAGGAATTTTTGTTATTTGGCATTATTTTTTGATCCTTGTAAATCTCAAAATATGCAGAATACTAGCTGGGCATTTATTTCATGTCAGTTTATTACTTTACAGTATGAAGCATGTGGTTTCATAATCTGAACATTTGCGAATATAAAACTAAAACTGACTTCAACATCCTGTTTGACTAGTCTTGTGATATTTAGTGTACCTTCTTTTTAATTAAAGTCTGTGGTAAAATCCAGTTTTTAAAAGATTCTGAACATTGCCTTTTATTGCATGTAAAATACTGGCCATATTTCTGACATGGCCTTGGCAATGGATTTCCTCATCAGGATAAACACAATTTTAGCTTTCCTGGACAACAATAACTTTTTATTGCCAATTCAATAATGGAAAAACCCATTTTTTTTCTTTCAAGTTAAACTTTGAAAATTTGAAAAAATGGTTGTCAAATGGCATTAACAAACAGATTGAAACAATTAGGCTTTTGCTTTACATAATTACAGATGTTTCACCATAAAAAGTTTATATACAGTACCCACTATAAGGGGTAAGAATTTATCCAATAAAGGCGCTATGGTTACTGTATGCAATTTTTATGTCTTGCATCACAATCAGTTGTGGCTTTAATGGTAATGGTGGGATATTTTTAGTGCGCCTTCCACAATAAAATCGTCTCAAGGCGCCGAAGAAAAGGTAGAAGCCAGCAAGTCCAGGGATGAATCTTTGGTTGGGTTCTAGTTGCTAGTACCTAATATCTGGTCGAAACAGTACAGAACCAACAGCTTAAACAACCCTTCTGATGGTCGGATGGTCATTACTAAATCTCAGAAAAAAAATTCATATATTTATTGAGAAAAGTGACATAAATTATACAATAGTTGAGCAAGTGAAGTGAATACTGCGTTTGCTGCAGTAGCTCAGGTGGCAGAGAATCAGATGCCTGTAGAAGTACATTATTTTGTTGATGCACTTCAAACAGATACCATATACAGTATCTATTTGAATAAATGTCCCATGGTATTTACAGTATTGTTGAGAATGGGTTTTGAGGGGGCTTTCATTCGAGGGAGATGTTTATTCAAGGAAGGAAAGAATTTATTTATTTTGGTGTATACTGTACAACATATAATTATCGTCGAAATGTATTGCATGATCATTAGGACTTATTGATCAATTAAATTTCAATGCTATATATATATTTGATCCCAACCAGGTTAGAAAAAAAGTAATTGAATGTGTTTAGAATAATGTTGCTTTGAACAGTTAGTTTTGTTTGCAGTCATTTAAGGCATTTAGTCGATGAAAAAATAAATGCTTCGTGGCCTATATTCGAGAGAGGCATTTCTTCCAAATGAGACTTTGGAGGGGTAATATTCAAGGGAAGCGTTTATTAAAAGCGGGGTGCTTATTCACATATGGTAATTGCCAGGTAACATTCATTTACTTTACAGTAGTTTCACTTCCTTAATGGCAACCATTTTACTGATACGGAAGTGAAATCAAGTGAACATTAATAATCATCTGTCAGTAATTACAAGTCCAAATAATTGCAGTAGATATAGTAGTTCCACATAGCTGCAAGCAGCAGAGGTGATGCAAAATAGATATCACTATCATTTTATGTAAGTAACATACACTGTAAAATGTTATGCAACCATTAACGCTTTATGTTACAACCTGTTATTCTTCCATGATGTAACCAAGGAAGTTACATAAAAGATTCCAGTTGTGGTATTTAGAAAAATTAATATTTAATGGAAGTACTGTAAATTTAGGTTAATTTGTTTTTACTGTTGTTTTTTTTTTTACCAATATAATGATTGGTAGTGTACCAAATGTCTATTAATAACAATATACTGTAACATGACAACTTAGTTCATGATTCATCAGAGGTGAAAATTTTCTTATACTTTCTTTCGCGAATTTGTTTTTTTAAAGATTGTCAAAGCTGTCTCTTATACACATCTAGATGTGTATAAGAGACAGATTATTAGCAGTCGGTATAAAGGTATAAAAAAAGTCTCGCCTTGGAGAGGGTAAAACATTTTTAACTTACACATAAACATTTATAGTGACTATCACTATCTGTTGTGGAGATCATTGACTTGTGATTGCGAGTGTTATACTGTTTGCTCTGTCAGTGAACCCAAACTAATAGCAGTATACGGAGATAAATATAGTATCTATGTATCAAAATATCATCATCAAGAAATTATGTACAGTATTGTATCCTAGGTACATTATGGAATATGGATAGGTTTTAAAAAATGTGTTTTTTTGTAATAGGAAGAAAATATTGGATACATGTTGAGGCATTAGTCATAATACACAATCGTCCATGACGGATCCTTTGTGTTTTCCATGTTTACATAACCTAGTGTATTATGTACCATTGCACTAAAAACAACATCCCTCTATGCTCTATTACTAAAGCTTACAGCTCTGGTAGTGACTTTAGTCTACACTTTTGTATTCTGCCATTTAGGTACAGAGAGTAAACAGAACCATTATTATTCTTAATTTTATTACTGTTCAGAGCTAGAAAAAGTGCGCGACCGGCGGTTGGAGACATTGACCGTTAATCCGGAGGCATTTTAGAAAAAAAAAAAACAATTTTCACGATTTAATGCATATTTAATATTTTTGCTTGCTCCAAACCACTAAACTTACTACTGTTTCGCTATAATAGTGTAAAAATTACATTTGGTCTTGGAGGCATTTGATCAAGATAATAGATAATTTTCATGGTTGGAGGCACAAAAATATTTTTTCCAGGCCTGTATTGTTGTTGTTATTGCTGTAGTAGTATTATTATAAAAGTACCTGTAGAGCTTTATTAAGAGGGCACATTCAAAGCCAAAAATGTCTTCCCATGGGTGTCCCCTCAATAGCTGTAGTGTAATGAGATATGTTGTTATTTTTTCCTGGCCAAATGATTTTCCCTTTAATAAAGGGGGTGTTCCCTTTTAGAAGTGTGTGTCCCAAAAGAGGGTTTCCATTACAGTATATTATAAATAAAGACATATCTCATTTTTAATTACCTCATTTTAATTGGCCAGTTTTAATTTTGATTTTTTAATCTGATTGGTTGGTTTTTATTTGCTTTCTATTATAAACTGTAAATATGTATGGATGAGACTTTCTCATCAGTATTCTTGATAATGATTAAATAGATTGCAATGTTGAATCTCAAAATGTCTCTCTTTTCGGAGTTACTGTCTTTTTGTTCTGTTGTATTATATTATTAGTAATGCCATTGTTGTGTGTATAATATTTTTTTTATAATTATTTACTATACAGTATTGAAATCTATAAATCATAAATTTTATTTTTGTTTAAGGTGTGGATAAAACATTTGAGAATGGTTCCACATTGTTGCATTCCTCTTGCCTTGCTGGAAATTTTGATGCCGTTTCGTATCTCCTCTCTGCCGGTGCATCGCACAAAAAAAAGGACAAGAACGGTACTGTATTTTAAAACTATTACTTTCAGTTTCTTAAAAACAGAAGATGCTTGTTAAGTTATAAATTCCAGATATTCAAAAGAAATTTGACTTTACTCTATTTTATATTAAAGCAAATTTGATTCTAAGCAGTAAATAACACTGAATAGCAGAAAGTAGAAGGAGGTTCTAATTGACTTCAAGTATATTTCATACGGGTTTAAGTGTACAAGTTATATAAAAAAAGTCTCATTAGAATGCTAAACAAATAAATCAGCTATTACCATTACAAAGGATGTGTCTCTTGCATTTGACAAATTATATTATTGCATATAAAAGTTTTCAGTTAAAATTACATTTATCAGAACCTTGCTTAATACATAAACATATGTTTTTACTGTATATTCATTTCTACTTAATGTAACCTTTGAACTTTCAAGGACTCTATTATGGGATGTTCCCGGTCTGGCTCATTCATTGAAGTCCGAACTCATCTAGTAACATCCATAGAGAGTTACATTAACAGGTGGAATTCCAGTGATTTTCGTGAACCTATATTCATCCTCTTTTCATCTAAATGATGTCGAATTTAATTAATTTTAATTTAACATCTTAATTTCCCAGGTAACACACCTGACCAGGTGTGTTTCTGCACTCATACCAGAAAGTACCTGCCCAAGACTTACCACACCCCTTCCAAAATGCCAAAGAAGAAGCAATGTACAATGCAAGATCGCAAAGCCATATTTGAACTGGTTCGCTTGCCAAAAAGTGCTGAGGATTTACTTCTCAAATTACAGGTTTGGCTTCATTTAAAATATTGAGTGTAGAATGTGTCATTATGGGTAAATGATGGCCTTTCAATCCAGGTCCTGGCTTCAAATCCTGCAAAGATTGAAGAAATGTCTTCGCTTCGTTTAAATATAACTCCATGCCACAAAAATAATTATAAATTAATTAACAATCCATGTCCTGGGTTCGAATCCTACAAAGATTCAAATTTGTTCGCTTCATTTAAATATAAATCAATGCCTTAAAATGTGACATACTGTAGTCCTGTAAAGTGGTGCATCACTTGTAGTAATGATTGAGTGACATTTTTAAAAATAATTATAGATTAATATATATATTGTATTCTAACTTAAACACATGAAAATTTACATCTAACATTTCTTCTGTTAAATTTTAGATGTTAGATTTTGATTTGAATAATGAAAAAGATGCCAGGGGAGAATTGCTTATACACTATGTGACACGAGGTGGTATGTATGCTTTCATTGTTATCCCCAATTTTTTTCATCAACATTTTAAATAATTCTTGAAAATTAATATGCATTCATGTTTCTTTGGCTAGTTAAAAAAAATGTCCCAACTTGTTAAAAAGTTATCTCTTTGTAATTTTAAGTGTTACCTGATTGAACAAGTCCTTTGTAAATGTTTTTAATGGTGTTTATATTTTGTATATTTATTTCATGATGTAAATTTTGCAATTTCAAGATTAAATTAAGTTTTGAATTTTGTATGAATCAATAACATCATCCTCGTTATCGTCTTAGTTGGGCTAACTGTGTCTAATTACAATTACTTATTTTTTTATCATCAATTTATCGTTATTTAACTCATAAATTGTAATAATGATAATCCTATCATTCCCATACCATCATCATATTTACCACCATCATCTATAACAACATATTTACCTTTTTTTAGGTTTACCTCAAATTGGTTTATTAATCAGCATTGTAACGTTGCTTGGTGCTGATGTAGAGTTGGTGAACAGTAAGGGAATGAGTCCGCTATGTCTGGCAGCCAAGCTAGGCCTAGAGGTTGTTACAGAGGTAATAATACTTGGATATATATAAAGAAGAATAAATGGAAAAGAATATAAAGCCCTTATCGCACTGGACTTAATTTGGTCAAATTAACCGAGTCACTGGCTAAATTGACCAAAAAAAAATCCAATCCGAACGTCGGTTACAATTCCCTCAGGGTTAAATTAACCAAGCCGAATGGTTAATTTTACCGACCTCAGCCTGCCCAGTAAAACTTACCACGGTCTCGGTTAAATTAACCACGCTGGTCAAGAAGTCCAATCCGAACATGCAACACGGTTAAAACTTTTTCCATGTTGACAC